TGTACTTACATATAACACATTTCCTGCTGTCCAAATTAATACATTAGAAGAGAAATTGTCATATTATTTATGAAATGTCTAAGAATCAATGATGTTTAAATATATATAATAAAGACTTTATTGAGCATACTTCAGGGTTTTTAAGATGTATGAATTTTATAAAAAAGCAGTATGCATAAAACTATGTCTTATTATTTTAAGGGCACTGAGTAAATATTTTTTGGTTTGCCTATTGCCTATTACACTATATATAGATAAAGTTATATGTGGTTCGATTACTTCAAAGTTAGTTGAAACTAATAATTGACAAAAGCTAGTTTTGACTATATTCTTTTCTCAGAGAATTTTTCATTTGAAACCCATGTTATTGAAATGCTTAAAGATTCACCGTCATCTTCGGTGATCTACTATATCACATTTATTATTATTTCTATCAAACTCGCATACTCATATAATAACAGTTAAAGAAAAACAGTCAGGCCGCCATTTTGGGCTGTATATTAGATTTAAAATTATTAATTTAGCTAGACTTGGATTGTCACCAAGATCTGCCAAGACCCAGCGCCGGCTCGAAGAAACTTGGCGCACTAGGCAAAACTCTGGAACTACGCCGATAAAATAAATTGGAAATGTAGGTATGTGCACTGCTATTAAAGAGTGTAATTTTGCCAATGTCAAAAGAAACTTCTGAAAAGACGAGACGACAACTACAATTTTTATATGTTCATAGTAGCAGTAGCCTTAGCTTAAGTTTCAATTTATTTTTTCGTCTTCTTTATCTAAATTTACTTGGAAATTCCGAGTGTCCAATCAATTAAATATATAATATATGTATAAATACAATGTTATATCTATGTTAACAAACACAACTAATCGGTAATTAAATCTTTAATAGCAGATATCTGCATTAAAAAGTTGTTACAAGGGCTAGTTACAAGGGTTAAAGTTTTGTTACAAAACCTTTTTTTAATTTTTAACTGTAACCATGATCCATTCATCACCCTACATATTACTCTTAGTAAAATATTCAGGGATATGAACACTTTTATTACTGAATCATAATCATAAAAAAGCAAAATATTTCGTTTTTGTAAAACTGAAACGCAGTACAGTAGAATGCGTGCAAAGAAAAAAAAAGGAATTGGCGCGAAATCTTTAGAATTTTTCTCAACGACGCAATAACAAATTGAATTTGTGACGGGTATTATTTTATTGTTCGCAATGAAAGTGAAAAGTAAAGTGCAACACTGCGCTCTGATTCGACATTCAATTCAAAGATATTTACTCTATCGTATAAACTCGGGAGTAAAACAAATTCTTAAGTTATTCGTAGGTATATTATTTTAAACTCCTGCGTGAGTATTTGCGACAAATACATTTTATTGTTAATGAAAAATGCTTAAAATTCACTTTGTTCCATATACTCGGAGATGGGATTGGAACCCAATCCCACCGACTGCTCTAATCATCGAGTTACACAGGACCTATCAAGACTGATGATATTTTCAAGAACTTATTACTTTTTCGCTACTACAAGGCATATTTTCATCAATGTTCAGGCAATCCACCCAAACCAAAAGAAATATTTTTACAAATATTTTAAACTTTCAATAAAGATTTTTTTTTTTCTAATTTTTATATTGTATTTGAATAATTTTAAATGCATAATACTACACTACACTACACACTACACTACACCGAAAAATATTATTAGTAAAAAATGCAAACAGTAGCTTTGTTCAGATTCCATAACAATGCAAAAAGGAAATAAATTATTATATAAAAAAACGAACTTTTCTATATTGCTTCGAGTCTGGCTGTTATGGTTATGGTTACCTTTGTTGTTTCAGATACTTACTCTAAGATACGATGGCTTTCGTATTATATAATGTTGTTTAATATTCCTCCATTATTTACTACTCGATTAGATCGACAATTAGATTTGGATATTTTTTATTAAATTCACAGGATAATTTATTCATTATATTGTAACAATAAAAGTATCTCAAGGGCATAGAGAGATAGGTAAGTACCTAAATCAGGAAATTACTACGCTGTATATAGAGGAGACTATGAAAAAAAAACAAAGAAACATAAAAAGCGTTCGCCGAATCGAATTCACCTTCTGTGTTTTACCTAACTACCTAGCATTCACTTTCCACATAATCGATTATAGCAAACATCCTACGTATGTTAATGGTAATTATAAGAAACAACTAGTGTCCCACCGAAACTGGTTTTTACGACCGAAACCGAATATCGGAAACGATCTCAGTGCCGGCTGAAACCGTAACCGAAATTTCCTAATGAGAATCATGTTTAAAAAAAAATTATTATAATCAGTCAGTCTTTATTTGAACCGACTACAAAGGAAGGGTTATGTTTTTTGACGTGTATTTATGTATGTCTGTATTATTCTTTATTACCTCATATCTTGTTTGATAGTTTTGTAAACAGTCCAATTGTCCAAGACAATCCAATATGGAGGCCGTGCGCATTGTACTTAGTATTTTTAATACTGAAATGTGGGTAAGAATTAAAAGGCTTAACAAAAGGATTTCGAAAAGCTAGAATCATGATTATCAATATCGTAATAATAATAAAAATAATACTTTTAATACTATTATTTTTGTTAGTATTGTATCGTAATACTAACAAAAATATGAACTTCCTCGCTTTATCGATCAACCTAGTAATTTGTTAATTAAAATAATTTTAATTTAAGTTTCAACTTTTACTTGATTTTCAATTAATTATTTTTAAGGCAGGCGGGTTTTTTTTTTTGTCTTTAACTCACAAAACTATGCAGTGTCCCACATTTTCCCTTATTAATACTCAACACAACAATCAAAAACGAAAAAAGAAAATTAATTTCGCCTTAAAAATAAATAGATGAGGTGTCTATTTAATTAGGTTGATTTTTCTTTTGAATATCATTTATGGTTTAAAAAAATATAAATCATAAAATTACTTAATTGAGTGTGTTTATATTACAATAGGTATTGTATTTTATTATTTAAGTAATAAACTTCATTTTAATTTATTTCGTCATTTTGTAAACTTAAAAGAAACAAACGCTAACTAAACTAATAAATTATAAACTCAAAGTAATTATAAGATTGCAAATGACAACGATTAAATACTAATAATTACAAATGGGTATCTGTAATCATTATCACTAAGTAGTATTCTTAATTCAACAATCATATTATAGGTAAGAAATGTTTGTATAGGAAAGCAATATCAAGAGAATTAACAAAAATATATTCAGATAGTTTAAACTGATTTATTATTACTTTCTTATATCGAATAATTGTTCGATAATTACTACCTATTCTATAGGTATATTATGTTACAGTAGCTCGGTGGCGTAGTGGATAAGCGCCGCGGCCCGCGATCGTTGTCGTTAAGCAACTTTCGCAAGGGTCAGTCACGGGATGGGTGACCAAAAAATTATTATCTCGAGCTACTCCGTGCTTCAGAAGGCACGTTAAGCCGTTGGTCCCGGCTGCATTTGCAGTCGTTAATACCCTCCAATCCGCATTGGGCCAACGTAGAGGGTCATGTCCCATCCTCCTTAACCATCCATAAGGAAGGCCTGAGCCCCTGCAGTGGGGACGTAAAAGGGCTGGTGATATTATGTTACATAACTTACCGAATATAAAGAAAATACACCAAAACTAACAACAATCAAAACACAGGCCAATCACGACATGGTTAGCCACGAAGACGGAGCAAATGTCGTCGTCACCGATTGGATGGAATTCAATGCAAAAACGAAACCAACCGATCAGTGCGCGAGAATGCAGTTTCGGTTTCGGTCGTAGTTCCGGCAAGTTTGCCACTTAAACCGAAACCCGCTTTTTTGCCGAAACTCGACCGAAACCGAAACCGGACATTCGGTCGGACACTAGAAGCAACCGTTCTCACTTCACTTTGTTTACGTTCGAATCGGTTGTTATCTTTTAACGTAAACATATTTGCTAATCGATGATTAGATAATTACTTGACTTATCATTAATGCATAGCCACCACTTTCGAAATCGTTTTTTTCTGGAATCATTTGCACGTAATAATACCGTATAATATTTTCACTAGTCAAAGAGAGATTAGTGAAATGTTTAAAATATGTACTATCAAACAATAAATATTTGAAGTGCTTTGCTATAAGTATTCATCATCATCTGCCCTTTGACGTCCTCACTGGAGAGGCACACGCCTTCCTTATGGATGGTAAAGGAAGGTAGGCCGTGTGTAAACTTCCACACCGACTGCAAATGCATCCAGGATTAACGGCTTAATAATATCTTGGTCATCCATCCCGCAACCGGCCTTTGCGAAAGTTGTTTTGCAATAATGACCGCTGACCGCTGCGTTCTATCCACTTCGCCACCCGGCTACTCAACTACTAATACTCTACTTATTATACATGTAAGAATTAACAAACGAATAATGAAAATCGCATTTCTATTAATAGAAGTTTCAAGTCTTCTAACTTAGTATGATCTGGTAAGGCGACCTACATTACGCCGTCTGCTTATATAACTCATTTTAAGTTATTTTTTATAAAAAATAAATCTACTTCGTTTTATTAGTCAGATAGTTATATAATCTATAACTTTATTGATCTATTTAATATAAAAAATTGAAATAAACTCACTACAGTTTGTCGTCAGCATTTGTTCTAGTAGGAAACGCACGTGCGCACGCGCATCTATGAATACCAATGATGATTGATGCATGATATGTTTATTAATGTTTATTCCATCGCCAAAATTCAACCACGTAATCTGAAACTAACATTTTAAATTATTTGCGACAAAGAACAAATTAGTAAACAAGGAACTGGACGTTAATGATCTGTGAATTTATTCAAAAACAGTTTGTAATTAGACGTAACTTAAATAGACTGTTTATTTTTAACGATTCATTATGATAGTATATAGTTATCAAGATAACTTTCTATAGATACCTAAATCATAAACGTAAACAAACACTGAATACTTGAAAATATAATAAGGAAATACATACTTCTGGCAGCTAGCCCACACCAAGTACTCGATATCTTGAAGGTTTCCATTGCATTATTTGTATTTTGATCAAAACTAAGAATTTTGATTGGTACTTGCTTTTTACTGACACTTAAAACCTTATAAAGTTTGTTGGTTATTGACGTTCAGTTAGTTTACTATTGATATTGATATGAACTACCGAAACGATCTTATTGATACGATTGGTAAACATTCTTCATCAACCTATAAAATCGGCTGCGTCGATGAAGTAGGTTTGTATCTATTACGAAGTAAAAGAACAAATTACTAACTTCGGTAAAAAAGCTTAATTTGTTCAAAAGAAACCTAGGGAACCTTGAACCCTACTTTACTTTTAAATAAAAGGTTTATTCGAATGAATGGTCGATACCGATCACTGCATAAAGTATACCTACTGTATTATCAGTAACGGTCTGCAAGAACCGGCCTCAAGGAGACCATCGAGCGTCAGGTGAAAGTCTCAGACGCACACTTCACTTGTAGCCACAAGCACGCTTGCCATCAAACGAGTCGGCAGTCGAAACGCGATTTCACCGATAATCAACTGAAACAAACAAACAAAAAGCGGGAGCAGTCTGATGATGCGCAAAGAGCAATCGCGTCATCGCATCGGTGGCGGTAGGCGAGCTGGTGATCGTGTCGCGCAACTGATAGTGTGTTGCGGAGGCGCGGGTCCGCCGACGCGTGCGGCGCGCGCGCACATCGGCTCAGTCGCAACCATGTTCACGTGCAGCATCGTCGTAACCCTGGTGCTCGTTGCACCGGCAATGTGCGCTGTCGCCACAGCCGGCGTCGCTCCCACAATTACTGCCATGGATATCGCCCCACCACTGGTGGATGTCAACAATGCTCTGGATACTGACATGGGCTCGAACGAAACCTTCGCCGAACAATATTTTATTAACAAAATATTTGACAAATACGGCGACAGAGGAATCATCACATTTGAGGTGAGTACAGAACATTGTTTGTTTATTTTTGTTATGATCGCAATTTTAAAAGCAACAAAAGATTTTCAATTCCTATTCGTGTTAAATGACAAGAAGATAATATACGGTTGTCACTTTATAGCTTAAAACTTCTTTTGACTTAACTATTTGTTTAAGTGTATGGAACCATTGATGGTGTTATGTATAAACAGTTATAGTTTACGGAACTATCAAGTACTTATTAACTCTCGAAGGTCACTTAAATTATCATAAGCCGTTGATTAGTACCTAATCACGAATATCATCATAACCAATCGATATCAAATATCAATTCGAAATTCGATGCATTAGAGAAACTAAATGCTTACCAAATATTACGGAAACAGGCAACCAACGCAAAGTATCGCTTTAAAAAGAGGTAGCTTTCCTCGTTTCTGAACGAAAAGTTCATCGAACTTCGAGTATATTTTATTTATTGTTAAAACGGTTGTTTTCTTATCTGAATCTAAATACTGTCTTATCTATCAGTGTAGATATATCGTCAATATATTTAGATATTTAGAAGTAATACTTTTGTCAGTTACTTAATCATTAACTCGACAGCTTATGTATGTATAATTATTAATGGTACATTCAATATTCCCTAAAACTTTTAACGTTGTATAAACTCAAATACATCTTGAACCAGTGTGAGATGTGTCTCGTCACATTAATTGCGGAAATTGCAGATTGGAGTCTGGACTACGTCGTGTTTTGTTATGTTCGCCATCTCTACTCTGCATGGCCACGAACTTCATGAGCTTGTGAAAAAAAAAACATAATATGTATATTATCTTTAATAGTTTTTAAGAATTTTGACAATAAATCAGGAAAGTTCCATCGATACAAATCTTATTAACTGATATACTATATAAAATAGTGACTATATGAACACAGCACATATTTTTATGATATCGCAGTATATTTATTGATAGCGGCATAAATTTCGTTTTCATTGATTATTTAAAATTACATGAGGTATGCAAACATTCACTGGGCCCGAACGTGACAGCTTTGTTTGCATACAACTACGCATGATTAATATCAAACAATTGGATATTTTTGGCTGGAATACTTTAATATGAAAGATGTGAAGCCTTGTTAATTTTTAATAGTTTTATATTATCACCAGTATTTTAATAAGACAAGTAGTTAATTGAATCTAAATGAGGATACTCATTGACTTCGCAAATACAAACTTATATTAAAATCACTTTGGATGTTACTTTAGGAAATAATAACAACCTCGGTAATATAAGTAAAATATAAGTTATAAGACTAAAAAACCAATAGCAAATTATTTAAAATAAAGGTAAAATAAATTTTTAAACGGTTTAATCGCGTTCGTATTTAGTTTTAACTGACGTTTTTGAAAATTAGTAATATTACAAATTACATGTCAAGAAACTTATTACAATAAATATTAACAATAATTAAATTAAATATAAATTAGGTATTTTAAATATTACAATGTCCATTAATAACAATTTTTAATTTATTAATAATAACAATAATATAATATTTATGTCCGTTTTTCGTTAAAAAATTCATCTATATTGTAATATGCCTTATTTATTAAGAATAACTTTAATTGATTATTGAATTGAATTTCTGTCTCCATATTTTTTATATAGTTTGGTATATGATTATAAATGTTTATTGACATAGCATGCGGACCAGACGAAACTATATTGCTAATTTAGGGAAGCGTATTCAGGTATCACAGTTATTCGTACGAGAAATAAATGAAAATCATGGAAAATCAGATGAATTCCGTGTTTATAATGCGATAGATAATTATTTGATTAATGAAGCAACTTTTAAAATGTTTCTTCGCATTCATATTTGGTGGTGGTAGGTTACGATAGCCAGGGATAATAAATAAGTCAAATGTATTTTTCAAATAATTTAATTTAATAAATGTAAACGTTGCCTTAAAATATTAAAAAGAAAATGTATTATTATGTGTCAAATAGTATTGGTTTGAAGTTATACTCTTAATTAAAAAGACAATCAACACGTTAATCTTATATCGGTAAAGGGTCCGAAACGTCAATAAAATTAAATAAAAACGCGATGAAACCGTTTATAACTTGTTTCATTTATGGATAGCGCTTGAAAGTATAAGAAATCAATACGAATTATTTAATTATATTATTTATGTTTTCAAAAAATCTGTTACGCTTTGTTATTTCGTCGTTATGGTTTATGATACCGCACAATGTAATCGTATAACATTTTATTAATATCAAAGCAGCATAGAAAAATATAATGAAAAAATATATATAATAAAATTAGAAAATGTATATAATTCACTACATTCAATTCAAAATAGGTACGTCTTTTAAAGTTTAATCAGTAATTTTACTTACCACTGATTTTACAAAAGTTACTGAATAATTTGGCTTTTTAAAAATGGGATAGCTTTTTGGAATGAAATAGGATGTGGTTATACCTATTACATATACAAGTCCGACAGTTTTGTAATCAATATTTTAATATATAATTGCGAAAATATACCTATAAGCAAATGTACCTTGCATACGGCACATTTGCTTATAGGTATATTTTATTATTATTTTGGTTCCTTATAATTTTGGAAGGTATTGTAAAAAGGCTCATTTTTGATTTAACTTAGCTTAGCACGGTTTATAGGAAATACTGGTTGAATATATTTTAAAATATCATCCCTATTCTAACTAATTATGTGATATTCTTCTTCAATAATAACTTTGGATACTAAGCCACGGCAGTCGATGTACTGCATTATATCGTGCCTTCCTTCTTTCTGTCCCATTTTTCCTTTTCCTCTCTTCTTGTCCTTCCTTATCTCTTTTTTTTCCATCTGTCCTCTCCCTCCTGTCTTCTTATTGGGGCACCGTTGCCTGTCATCAACTCGACGCTGGCAGGTGCAGGGTCCTTTACCCTGCGCTTTGAGAAACGGTCTTCATAGCCGAGATACAACTCAAGGTGTCCGGTTAGGGGCTGCATTCCCATCGCACATACAAACAAACAGTGGCTCCTCTGGATCCCTTAAACACAAACAAATAATATATATATATATATATATATATATATATATATATAGTACGCAAACAACTCATAAATTATACTAACTCATATAAAGAAAAGAAAAAAGCCCCGGCAGTAGTTTCCCAACCTTTCTTGTTGAAGCTCTCTAGACTGAAAACAATATTTTGATTGGCCCTTTATTTTTATTTTTTTTTAAACACGATAAAACACCTCTCATCCACTTGCATATATTGTGATAGATGGAATAATTTATGTGATATTATAATTATTAATTTCACATTTTATTTTTCACTCGTTTTTTTGAAACGCCTGAGTTTCTTCAGTAAAAAAAAATGTAAAACTTAACGTCGCACAGGTGCAACGTGAACCTTTGAAACTACATAACATGGTAAGTGCAAAAACAGGCATCAAATATACCGATAATTTTTAATTGTAGATAAGCTAGTTCACTAGCTCATTACAGTCACAAAAATTACTAGCTGAGTATTGTTCTCCAACAGAAAAGATAAACATGAGCTGCTCTACCAGATGTTTCAACAATACAAGTCGTGGGCCTCTCATAGATAAACATTAATTCAAAATGTTATAGTTATACTTCTCGTTTATTACATAGTTTTTTAAACGAGAGAAAAAAAACTTATTGATCGGTTACCTTAAAGAAAAATAAACACCCAGTTCCATCGCTGAAATTACTAGAATGGAGTATATTTAACCGATCACCTTGATCTTTATAAGCTAACAGAGTATCTTGAAAGAAAAAACAGTACTTATTCTTTAGAAACTGAGTTCTGAAGATTTTCCAATGATAGAGATATAAGAGGTTCGAATTATCAGTTTCTACTATGTCACGCCGTTTAATCTATCATTTCAAACTGATAACTGAGAACAAAAATCAAAAAATACGAAAAATAATAAAAGTCCATCACGCATCATCATGACGAACTCGAGAACGTTTTGTCTACACTCAAATGCTACTTATCTCGTGTGCGCCCATAAGATATCTATCTCGCTGTCGTCCTGAGGAAAGTGACGTTCTTCTTCTTCTTTTATTTATGGCTTATCTGCGCATTTCGCACAATTCTGCCAATGTCAAGTAAATAAATTAATTTCTACATGTAAAATGAAAATGAAATGAATGAAAGATGATGGATTGTTGATGCTGTAAAATTTTGATTCGAAAGTGACGTTTAGTGTAGATATAAAGTGTTTCTCGAGTTTGTCATGCTCCGCGTGCAAGAGTAAACTCTTTTATTTTATTATTTATTTTGAGTAGAGTAACAATATAACTCGATCTATCAAAATGGAAATAATATAAATCTCCTTTGTAACGATAAATCGTTGTTATTGGGTCATCAACATTAAGTGTTATTAATTTATATTTCTGTTTTATTTTTTTTTAATCATGATTCGTAATAATACATACTTCTTTCAAATATTTTTTTCTATATCTAGAACTAATTAAGGAAAGGTTACGATCAATTAAAAAACGTCTTCAGGTAATGTAATGAATGGTAAATGAAGTATACATGTATAATAGTGTATACCCACTGTATATATATAAGTTACATGAACCTATTGTAGAATCGTTTGTATCTTCATAACATTATAATTAAATTCAATGATAGACAATGTAGATATGAACAATGTCTTCTGTTGATAACACAATATCAGAATCTGAAGTGTTTTCATTAAAACTTGGTACTTCATAGAGACTTCATCAACAAATTAAAAGTTTCGCTCTCTCACGATGACTATAATTAATAAATTAGATTAAGTTTATTATAATTACATGTTAGAAGATCGTTAGTAGCTATTGTGAAAGAAATATAGTGATTATTATTATTATTATTATTATTATTAATTGAAGAACCATTTATAATGATTATCCCTTCTAATTTTTTTCTACTTCTAAACAAACATAATAATGTGTATACAGATCAATCTCCAGGACAACAATACTTGAAACTAAAATTAAAAAATTACATAATTTATGGCCTATTATGGAAATCGGTACGGTGTGGTATAATTACTACACGGTTATTGATAATGTTATTAAATTCACAGCCGCGTGACTTCATAAAACTGTCGCCTACATTTTGAGCGTTATTGATTTAAAAACGGACCTAAGATAGAATCTATGTTAACCTCTTTTTTTTATTACTTATATATTAACTGATTTTATGTATGTAATCCATAAATTTTTTTTCTTTCTTTTCTTTCTTCTTTCATTCTATTCTGCATCCGACTCTTATAACTTTAAAACAATAAACATGATTAATTATTGTAAGGTACTTTTATACGCTTTTTGTAGTTCTTTGGGTATACATATTATAATAAAAATATTTATATTAATTACTTAGTCGGGCCATAAATACCGTTAGAATCAAAAATAAACAAAATATTACTTTTGAATTTCGAACCTGTCATTTTTATTATGTTCACTGTCTTTTCTTTTTTCGCGCCAATACATTATAAAATATTTTGTGATATTAAAATCCACTACATTTTTCACTACAAAGAGAACTGCATCGCTGTGATTGCATTACATAAACTAGGTATAGAACCAAATACAACTGTCAAAACCCTCCATATGCTTGGTATTAGTTGAATGTTTATTTGCCGGGCCATTGATAGGTACCATTAAACCTATTCTGTTATGATAGAAAAAGACCTGGCTCTCCACCTAGTGTTCGTACGAAAAAGCGACCAAAGCATTAAAAGAAAGAATTCGAAGAAACCCTGTTCGAAAGCAAAAGATTTTGGAGGATGAAGATAGCACCTAGAACCATTTCGCGTATTTTGGCTTCCCGTGAAAACTCTTAACTGCCAAAATACGCGTAATGTTTCTATATTGCAACATATATTTTGCAAGCCTTTTAATGTGATGTCCATATTGTTATAATTAAAGAATATAAGTACGAAAACAAAGTAAAATATCTTCTATAATAAATATTAAAAAATCAGTGTCGTGACCCTTGAGATGACGTAACGCTAATCAAACTCGTTAAATTATTCAAAAGTTATGGTGAAATAAAATTCACATTATACATATGTACATCAACCCTTTGGTACCACCCCTTTTTTTTCTTCAGGTGTTATGTAAAAACAGTGACCATCTTAGACAACCATCGATGACAGAAAATAAGCAGAAAACCATATTTGCAATTCAAAACATTGCTCTTAAGTTACGTCAGTGAATTGTCAAACGTTTTCTAATGATGACTAATGACAACATAATATACTCAGGTAGTATTGAAACGATAATCATACAAAAGACAAGCTTTACTCATTGTTTGTTTCAATGAAAAGTAGCAATTATTAATCAATCCGTCATTATCAAGGTACAAATAGTCTCTATATTTATTTGCAGGACAAGAGACTACATTTATAAACCATAGGAATTATAAATAAACCCACGTGTAGGGTTATGATGCCGTCTTTCTGTTGTGAGGTTCAGGGGCGTGTAAATACGCCTTGGATTAAAAGGGCTATGGCTTGGGGCAACCAGGTTTCAGGAGCAATGCAAGCGTATACTACGCGTTTATTTCTTTGTAAAATTTATTCGTTATCTTAACTAAGTACACATATCAAATTTCTGGATTTTAGCAGTAGGTACAAGGTCTACTGCCTTACATTTGCGAACCAATGGCATAGTATGTCGACATTGCTAGACTAAACTTAATATGCAGAGATGAATTTAAATTTAAATTTCTCCTAATTTGTTCACTCTCGACAGAGTTGTCGTCGTTTTATAACGATTCATATAATTCGAAAAAAAATAATCACTTGTTTCGATCTGCAGCATTGTGAGAACATTAAAATATGGGGCATTTATCTTTATTGCAACATTTATCGCGTCAATACAACTAGTAGGTGATCAGGCGCATGACCGAATGCCTGCTTCTTGTCTCTGAAGAACGAGCTGTTTCATGGAGTTTAGTTTTGGCCATAAAATCTCTAATTTAATCTCTTCCAAAATCGTAATATCGGTCTGAAACACGGTCCAAGGGATCCGCAACAGTCGTCACCAACAGCAATTCAAAGGCGTCGATTTTAGGTTACCGTTCTTTCAGGCGAACTGTGATTCCGCGCCATGAATGCATTGATTATTCTCAATGGCTTAAGTTTTTTTACTTTTCAAAAGTCCTAGTTTTTGTCAAACTACTATCAACTGATCATTAAAAAACCTGTTTAAGTGACGTTTAAGTACGTCTCAAACGAACCAAACTTTAAATACTCAATTTAGAAACCAGATGTAAGATTCCCATCATATGAATTTTCGTGCAATTTATGATGATATAGTTGGAACGTAGATACTTTTTTCAGCATATCGCTGGCAGATCTTGTTCTTCGCTTCTTGTTGATCGCATCTTCAAATCTCATCATCACAGCAACTAGATGGCGTAGTGGATAAGCGCCGCGGCCCGTTGTGGTTAAACATCTTTCGCAAGGGTCGGTCACGGAATGGGTGACCAAAAAATTATTATCTTGATTGAACGAGCTTCGGAAGGCACGCTAAGCCGTTGGTCCCGGCTGCATTTGCAGTCGTTAATACCCTCCAATACGCATTGGGCCAGCGTGCAGGAACATGGCCTATCCTCCTTAACCATCCATAAGGAAGGACTGAGCCCCTGCAGTGGGGACGTAAAAGGGCTGATGATGATGATGATGATCCCCTAGTGTTCGGAACGTTGAGCTAACATAAAAATAGCTACCGACAGCGGAATTATTATCGGCGTAATTAAGTTGGAAATTGTGCTAACCACACAGAACAAAATTCTCTTTTAATAACCTGGATTTAATTATGTTACAGTTGTTAGTTTTAGTTTATTTTACAAAAAAAAATCTTTGAAGAAGGATTTGCGTTATATTATTTCATACTGAAAAAAATATCAAATCAATCTTTGTTTTCTTATATGCTTGTAAAAAATTCCAAAAAATTGTATTAGTGAGGAATCAACAAAAATGTTAAACCTCCAAATGGCACACCAAATTATTCTAATATGTAAAAATTCTGCAATCGATATTAAAAACCTCAAAATACCGTATCGGTAAAACTACCAATCTGGTGTTTTTGAAATTTAATATCAATTACAGAATGGCTGTTGAGCCATTCTCCGTCATATAAGAAAAAGACAAATCCAACCTTCATTCGCTCCTAAAATAAAACAAACTTTCTACGATCTGCAATCAACACCCGAAGAAACATGAACTTGTTTAATAATTATATAGGAGTCAATTTTAAGCTATCATGTGAGTGTAGGCACGGACTGTATAACAACAGTATTAAGAAGATATGATAGGATATCTATGTTAACTAATCTCATTAGCCAACCAAAAAACGTGAACATATGATAACATGCATTTCGGAAATGTCCTTCAACTTGACATTACATTACGTGGTTCATTGTTTTTTTTATGTGGACGAAAAAGGTTGTTCTTATGTAAATAGGTATATTTACGAAGATACGCGTTATAAGCATAGGTTATATTCATAAAAAAACCTTCATAATAAATAATGCAAATATACTGCAACCATTTTTATTATAAATACAACAACACCTTTGTATTTTTATCCTATTTTACTATGGAAAAACCATAGATAAATCTCAATAGCCATTATACTGTACCTATGTAAAATTATTAATACTATAGTTCTTTGAAATTATAAATTCATTGCCATGAAATTCTTTTTTTATTATATTATAAATAAATTTGAATTCCAAAATGGTAATTTAAACGTTTTAAATCATATATTTTAAATCTCACAAAAACACTTTCAGTTTTCTTGAATTTATCAGTTTTGCGAGTAATTTTTATTTTCCTAATGACCTAACGCAATTTCACTATTTAGTTACACGCGATTTCGTTTGTAATGAATGGCAAAAGTACTCTATAGGTATAATGGCAAGACCTATTATAGATCTTCTATGATGATTACCTGGAATCCTCGTTCAAGGGTATAAACGATAAATATTTTCTAGGGTGGAAGATAACATCCCAAATATAATATTTTGATTTTATTTCACGGAAATTTAGTACTTGTCTTACATTATCCCAAATCTAAATACATGTCTAATTGTATTCTCGAAATAGCTTATTAAGATAATAAGTATTTAACCCCAACCTTTTAATAAGTTTTAATATCTCCTATAAAATTTTATATTACGCGCATTTTCTTTTGCAAAGGAAATTCTTTAAATGGATAAACCACGTATAATGTCGATATGTCATGCGTTTTTTCATTAATAATAAACATTCTACTCATACGATACAAAAGGAATGAAAAAATTCAACAGTTCCAGATTTTATTATTATTTTTATCGTAAGGCGACTTTTAATCAGGAGCTAATGCCGTATCAGCCCGGGCGACAGGGGTCCCTAAAGTGGATAAACTAAAATTTTCACCCTTAATTTGGGCTATCTCAACTAATTATGATACAACCCCTCCACGGCCTACTACGCCACTGCTCATAAGTGAGCGATTTCCATTTTTCCCGGCCTTGATCCCTGATGGATTTTAGACTTACCTTTAAGATACACAAAAATAATAAATATTTATTCTCCGTGATTTTTCGGGTCTATATAGATGTGTAAAAAGATAATCTTAATTATAAATGTTTACATTTTTTTTCAGGGTTTCGAACATTTACTGGATAGTCTTGGTCTGGGAGGCCGCGTTTTTAATTCACCACATGACTTGGAGCAGCATCGTGTCAACGGCACTTTTCGTCAGATGCACGACGCTCAGCATCGCCATAAAAGATCACCTATCACAAGTTAGTATGCTATTTATTTCTTATCAACTGAATATGACTTTTTATGACAGGGTTGAGTTAGCTAGAATGAAACAGCCAACTTTTCACGTACGATGAACCAACTAAGTGCGGAAAATTGTAATTCCTTTACCTAACCTAAAACTTTTCAAGTATTGAGAACCATTTTCTATCGTCATAACCAGGTATATCAGCAATTCCTTAAATATAGATAAATGAAAAGTTCCTAACAACCACGCTTCGCTATAGCTGAATATATGGCTGTAACATATTATATAGCAATGTATAAGAAATGCTCTCATCAATATAATAGATTGGTTTTCCGCCAGCGGCTTCGCCTGTGTGGTCCTTAGGGAACTATTTAGTAGGATAAAAAGAAGCCCATATGTAGATCCAGGCTTTTTTACATTTCTTTAAAACATTTTTTTTTAATTCGGTGGGAAAGGTGTAAGTGTATTTTTCATTCTTTGGGTGAGCTATTTATATAATGACTGACGACGACAACCAAGAGGTATAACAAAGTTTAAAAGGTACGAATACCGTTGCTTCGGAGAAAGAGCATGTCTCTCATAGAAGCGCAGAGGTTGAATCGTCTTCTTCTTCTTCGGAAGATGAGGAAGACTATGTCTCTCCACCTCCGATTAAAAGCAGAAAACGTAGTCAAACCGACGACGACTCGGGTATCAATTATTTAATGAATTGCCAGATTTAAAACTCAAACATTAGTAATTACCCTGGTTCTTCTTACATGTCATAATCTGAAACAAGTCAACAATTAAATTTCTTTGCAAACAGATTTTGGTAATAAGAAGGTATTACCCATAGCTAATAAAGAATGGCTAACTGAGTTAATACAATTACAATATATTGATGAAAACTCATGGAAAGGAATACATTATAAACTTTTTTTTTTAAATCTGTGGCTCCAGGTTTTGTATTTCTCAAAGTAAATGCTGCATTGTGTCATTTCAATAAGAATAAAGACTTTTTAGCACCTACAGAGAATATGTTAGCTGTCTTAACTAATGCAATTCTAAAACAAAGGGATCTCTTGAGACAGAACTTGCAAGACATACTCAATTGGGCTGCAGCGCACCCCGAGGAATTAAACCCTTCTTCCTTACATAACAAATTCACAACATTACTGGGTCCATTCTATCTCCCCCAATCTCTTCTGCAGAAGTGCTCTGAAAATATTATGCAGATAATTTGTGGCAGAAAAAGTGAATGTATTGAAATAAGATGTAAAAGGATTGTCAAAGAAATAAATAATGTTAATTTGAATGCACATTAAGAATCACACAACCGAGTTCTGAATATCTATTAGTAGAGAGGTTTTAGAATATGTTACCCAGACCCTTAGTGGTTCTCAAACATGGTTAAATATTCTTTCATCCTTGAAAGAAAAAACACAACATCGTAATATTCGTGAAAAACTTCCACAATTTATTAAGACTGACATAAGAATTGGTAGTGGCAAAAATAACAAGATTTATAATAAATCAAGAGTAATTTCTAAGCAAAATAATAATTTTCATCGCTACAATAATAACCATGGAGTAAATAATTCAAAGTTCAATAATACTCGGAAATGACTATACTCAGAATCACCAACCTTTTCAAGCAGTTTGTCTAAAATTTCAGGTTCATGCTTGGAAGAAATTAGGGGCCAACCCTTTTATCGATTGTTGGGGTGGCTAATTACAGTACCTGGGTCTTTTATGGAATACTCCCAACCAGATCAGGGCTTTACCAACCAAAAAAGTGATAAGAATAAAAACAACAGTCTCAGAGATTCTTAAAAAAAAATCACTCATCTGTACGAGAAATGCAGTGTTATGGGCCTATTAAATTTCGCAATTTTGATAACTACCAAGGGAAGTTTATACTGTCGACGAATGCTATTATATTTCTGAGAAGTTTCAAAAGAGCCAAGTCGAGGACAAAACGAGATTTTGTGTCAGAAGGACATAGATCACAGTGTATTGCCGTTATACAAGAAGGAAATAACACATTTCCTAGTTACAGACGCGGCGGACGCAGACTGGGGTACATACCTAAAAGGAGATTATCTATCAGAAAATGGCCGCCAAAACAAAGACATTGGCTCTCAAATCTAAAGAAGATCTTTGCAGTGTACGCCAGTATCAACACCAGAAAATAAATCTCCATCATGCACATATACTCGTCCAATCAGACAACACAACCTTAATAGCATACCTACGGAACGAAGGTGGTACCCGCTCGAAAGCATTACTCGATCTGACGATAAAACTTCTGGAAATATTAAAGCGACTCAACATCACGCTCTCGGCGGTGTACCTCCGACGGCCGAAACCGACCGCTTATCGCGAAATCGACTCGTGCTGAATGGCTCTTGTCGCTCCAGGCTGCGATGGTTGTGTTCGAAAAGTGAGGCATTCCAGACGTAGATTTGTTCGCATCTCCAGAATCGACCGCTGTGCCGTAATACGTGTAGTGGGACTCAAGTGATGGCTCTACAATCTTTTGCTACGCATTCAGCCGTCCTAGGACGTTCAAACTAGCGTGGGTATTTCCGCACCCAAGTTTGACACCCCGAGTGCTGCGATAGCTCAACTCCACTCAGGGAATTCACATAATGTAGCAACTCGACTGACCCAGCGTTTCTAGCTAGAATATCTCCAAACATAAGTGCTAGCAGAACCGATATTAAGAGAAAACCTCCAGAACTATTTGATAGATCTCACAACGAGCAAGAACCCGCCTTAAATAGAGACATTGGAGTTCCTAGCTAGAAGGTTGGGGGTGGTCTGAACAGGTTGCTCACTAGTCTTCAGAAGAATAAGGTTTATTAACTAAAAGCTGGCGTCACTCGACAATTATGACAAATAAGACTCCTATTACAAGATGGATAACATGAAATGCTTAACATAACCACAGAGCACCCCAAAGTCGTTCCTCTGAGAATCATCATTATATAGCCAGTTTTTTTTTTGAAAACTGTATTTAGAATATGATTTTGCATATTGCACTATTATTTTACACAAGTCTGCTATTTCTACATACTATGCTGCCAGTGTAGATCATATTTCATGAAAAATTATCATGCATCATGTCTTAACAGCCATCTCTTTAGCAAGACCTGAACAGACAAGATCTCCAATTTGAGATACTCAGCTACTTTTTGATTGGCTTAAAAACACCTCATCATCAAATACTCTGTTTGATATATCTAGGAGAACAGCTATCGTCTTGCTTTAAGCTTCAGGCGTGTGCATGACCTAACTCTACTTGGTTTACCAGAAGAACTTGATAGTGATAAAGTGGCTTAGATTGGGCTCTACGACTGATAAGGCAAATAACAAACCATCACGTTGGCTAACAAGCAAGCATAACCATAATAGAAGGTTGTTTGAAAACAGCTTTTAAATAATCGGGAATTAATGCACCTCCAGGCATCATACGCTCTGCTGTTGTATCCAGATGTTGGATAGAGAATATAAGTAAAGAAGATATTATAAGCACCAACTGGAAAAAGCACAAACTTTTTACAAGTTCTATTGCAATGATGTCAAAAACAATAATAATATTACTAATCAGGACTCTTGGGTGAACATTTTTGAAACTTTTCATTAGAATTTCGTTATTGTTAAGTTTATAAATTAAGTTGATTTCATCTCAATTTAAAAATTATTTTATTCTATTATTAACATGCATTGTTTGATCATGCTTACATATTTTTCTTTTAATTTGATAAGAACAATTGATGATTGAATGATTCAACATTCTAATTATAACATAGCGTATACTTTTTTCCTATAATCAGCAGATATCAAGCAGATATTCAACCAACACTGTTTTAGCAATACATATAGTAATACTGTTTTGTTGTAATGCAAAACAGTATTATTAAGAGTTAGAGTAGCCTCAAGGCTGACAAGGAAAATATTTGAGTAAGCGTTGAAAATGATCAGACAGAAGGTCAATAACATCCGTATCAAACCATTCATAATGACACCCTTGAAAGTGAATTGTCCAAAAAAAAAAATTGGATTTTTAATAGTAGAACCTGATTTTATAAAACTTATTTAGTTTAATGAAAAGTGTTTGTATACAGCTTAAATTTGTAATAATATGTAACCTTGTAATCCGAAAAATAATATCAGCAATAAACCCAATATTCTGCACAACAAACTAATATTGCTAAAATTCGTTAGATATGTTACAGAAAAATAAAAAATATTAAAAAAAATTGAATCTTTAGACTTGATCACAAAATAGTGTATAGTTATTATGACAAAAATAGGTTTTGTAACGGAGCTGAAAAATTGCGTAGGTAGATGATATACATTAACGGTTTTGCTATTTGGAATGACGATTAGTTGGAGTCGTCAAATACTTTTTTTAGACGTGAGCGCGACAACTTCTTTAATATTATTGTAGCTATTTCAACAAGCGATCGTGTTCGACGTTCTTTTTGTTATGTTTTTGTACTAATATTGACCGACGTTCTCGACAAAAAATAAGTTATTTGGTAAAAAATCATTTGTAAATTTTCCGAACTCAGTAGATGAGATTTTTAAAAAAGATGGAATAATATGATTTTCTTATTGTTTCCTAGCACTTTTGTATATTGAGTTTTAATAAATAACTATCACTATTCAATCAATGTCTTCAGTTTACTTTTACTTTGTTATGATTTGATGATTAAATCTAATCTAGGAACTTATTCTTAAAACACCATTTCTATTCTACATTTCAAATGAAGAGTGTCGAGTGTTAATTTTAAGAATATGGTTATTGATCTTATGCTTGTTTTGTTTTCCAGATATTGCAAACCTTTTTTTCCGTAGTTAAAGATTTTGTTTCCATAAAAAATCTTCTAAACATTTTAATAAAATAGTTACAAATAAATACACAACATGAAATAATAACGATAATAATGAAGAAAACATTAAGATTCCTTTACAAAAAAAGTAGTGTTCATAATCTTAACACAAGAAATAAAAATAAACTTGCCGTTCCAAGCTTCAGACTTCAGAAAACCAGAGGACCATTTCTGGGTAAATGCATTGCTATGTTCAATAAAGTTCCACAAAATGTAGTTGACCTACCCATAAATAAATTTAAAATTCATGTAAAGAACATACTTATGAGTTGCAATGAAATTTAAGGATTGCAATGCATGGAATTAATAGCCTTCGCTTTGTTTTATAAAGACTAATTTTATGTTCAACCAATGTCCTACAGACTTTGCAAGTTGTATTTATTATTGTGATAATACATATTATTTTGGTAATGATATGATTTATGTAAATGTCATTACTTATGATTAACAGCTAGTAAGTTTCTTCCGCTTGTTCTTCATTTCATTTCATTTCAATAAAAACAACAGTACTAGTTTGATGTCGAAGTCCAACAACTGAATAAAAACAAATAAACTCAAGCCCTTCAGTTAGGAAAATATGATTCACGTGATGCAAGAAAAAATGCAAGGAATTATACTGATATAATATTGTAAATGATTTTTAATAATTTAAATTCCGGTATAGCAGGTACCTGCTATTGAATAGAAAGCGATGCAGCGAGAAACTCTCTCTGAACTCAACCTTTTACGCTTGTGCATAATTATGTTGACTGATGAAATGTGTGGCAAAGGTACTTTCCAACTTCCGTATGTAATAAAATATCTATTTACAAAAATATGTTTTTCGTTATTTTACATGATTACTACAACTTAAAACAAAAATTCTCTACACTTTTTTATACTTCATAGGCGTAATAAAATTTATTATTTTTATTCTCTGAAACTACAAAGATACAGCGAGACTTGAGACAATATAACAAAGATCATTTACAACATTGACCCGACGGGGAAAAACCTCTGAGTTGGCTATATTTAAATAGGCTTGCAAGCCACTCGGCTTCGGATGTCGTCAAATTCTTTTTAATTAGAATGAATTCTATGTTGTTTTATTTTTTCTAGATTATTATATTAGTTTATGAATATTCACGTTTGTATACTTTTTTCTTTTTTTTTCTTTCTTCTTCTTTAGTCCACTAGCTCAGTTCTTTAAACAATTGGTATATTTTAATCAAAGGTGTTAGAAATTGCAACCTTAACTATAAGGCCGCCTTTTGCGGTTAGGTATGTTCCTTCCTAATTATATTTATATGAAAATGTTTTACTATACAAAAAAGTGTATTTATTAATTCAGTGTTTTTAGATCTAAAAGTAAGTGAACTAATTAAGCATATTTTTATATATGCTAACTGGTTTCTACATACCTATTCTGTTGCTCCGAAAACGAAATTTCATATATTTTCAAAATGCGAATACGACTGACTATAAATTTGACTTTAAAAAAACGGATTTTTCTGTAATTTATGATGCTACAGAGTAAGAACTTGACTCTGCCATCGCAGATACGATTTAATGAAATCATAAGAACTATTTTAAATTTTCCAAATTCTCATTCGAGGACAAATAAAATAGCCGCTCAAGTATCATGTCAATTTGTACGAGTTAACGTGAAGTTCTCGTACTACGAGATATCTCTTCATTCACATCCATTTACTAATTAGATCATTACTATTTCTATAACATAACTGTAAATGAACGATAACAAACACGAACAAATATTTGTATAAGTGCGAGTATGCTAGCGTTGCAAGAAGGCGGATGAATAGTGCGCTCGTCATTTGTTATCATGCCCGATTATCCTATTAGGCACGAGAGCGGGAAGGAGCCGAGCCAGCGAGACCCTTGGGAGCAAGGTCCTTTATATTCTTTGGCGCGTAATATAAAATATTGAATGGGAGTTTGCTTAAATTTTTAATGTTTGATTAAATACATTAACTAGCTGATTGCCTGCACCTTCGCCTGCGAAAATTACAATCTATATCGCTCTCGTATCGATCCACGAGTTTTGGATCCTATTCAATGCAGACAAACAATCAAATGTTTCCTCTTTTAATATAGAATAGATAATATCAGTGACGGGTCAAGCAAATGAGAAGATTTATTAATCATATGTTTTTTTTTTACAGGAGACAGTATACTGAAAAAGTCATGCCTCTCACCAAGAGATATATTAGAGTTCTACGGCATCGAAAACGAGCCAGGAGTTATAACTATAGAACCGAAAACGTTTTTGGAAATGTGCCCTGCCCTAGTATATCAACTAGATCAGAGATCTTGCTTCAAAACAGAAGCACCTACGCAAAAACTAGAGAGATACTGGAGTAAGTACTTAGTTTAATGTGAAAAGATTACATTTAAATTGTCCTTGGTCTTAGCAATTCATTCTTATATCTAAATGTGTGATTATATTCTTTCAGCTTGGATATACGCAAGTCTAAGCATCTTAGTCATAAGTGCAACAGGACTGATAGGAGTTGCGATCGTGCCACTGCTTAAATCCGTAATATTCGGGTATGTGCTACATTTCCTTATTGCCGTGGCAGTTGGAACGCTATGTGGTGATGCATTACTACATCTCCTGCCTCATGCTCTCAAATCCCACGGAACTCCCTCTGAGCCCCAAGAAGAAACCGAAGTTGTACTAAAATGTAGCGTTACGTTTCTCACCATTTTACTATTTTATACAGTAGAAGCTATAATGCAAACTCTAAACGGTGGTCATGCACACTCCCATGATCATTCCCAAGGAATGACTGTAGAAGAAATGAAAACAGAATCTAGTAAACAAATAGAGCCTATAGAATTAGGCGCTATGATGCCTGGAGCGCCCCCACCACCGGTAGAACGTCCAATGTCCTCGACGGCCCTCATGGTAATCGTGGGTGATGGGCTGCATAACCTCACGGATGGTCTAGCAATTGGTGCAGCTTTTAGCGGAGATCCTGTAACTGGTTTCGCAACTGCTCTCGCTGTATTCTGCCACGAGCTACCCCATGAACTTGGAGACTTTGCGGTTCTCTTACGCTCTGGTATGACCATAAAGAGGGCGTTATACTACAATTTATTGTCGTCTGTGCTCAGTTTTATGGGAATGGCGGGAGGCATATGGTTAGCTGAAGACCATGAATCTGCGTCACAGTGGATATACGCGGCAACAGCTGGGACATTCTTTTATATTGCTTTAGCTGATTTAGTCCCCGAAATAAATGAAAACAACCACGGCAAAACTATGAATTTACTTTTAGCTGTAGTAGGCATTCTCGCAGGTGGTATTATAATGTTACTCATTGCTCTACACGAAGATTCAATACAATACCTCTTTAGAAATGCGGAACAATGAACGTAAATTCTAGTTATGTTTTTCTAGAGTACGTTCGATGTGATAAAACTCATGGTTGTTCAAATTGCATACATAATATAGTGTTAATGTATATAGTGCCCTTAGAGATCCCTGCATGACAATTTTAAACTTAGATAATCATACCTGTCTATATCATATATGAATGGATAATAAATGGATTATCCAATGGATGGTCATCGGATATTATTGATACCATCGGATCGAATTGACAGCAATATTAGGGTTACACCCTAGCTAAATATTAAGTGCATCATATGAAAAAATACTCATTGGATAAATTATCATATAGTCAATGAGATATTTTTTAATAATAACATTCCATAATATTAAACCGTAATAACAAACAAATATAATGTATGTTACTATGATGTAAGTAACCGTAATAGCTATGTTTGAATTCCGTGTATCAAGACCATTTTTATTGTACACACGGTACATAGCTACTTGAAGGTATCACTTAGAATTCCATATTTATAAAAGCAACGAAAGATCTTTAATGAAAAATACTTTAAAATATCGGGGGACTACTCTAACAGGATTGCGAAGGGAGTGGGTTCGAATCCCATCTCGGGGTACCTGAGGTTGGTGGATTTTAAGTATTTTCATTGAATATACGAGGGTCAAACTGAAAGTTCTTAGAAAATCAAAAACTGATTACATTAGCCAGTTATTAGTTTTATTATATCTTTTCAAAATATTGTCCATTCACGTCAATACACCGCTGCATGCGATGGAACCACTGGGAAAAGCACTTTGCCCACTCGTCCTTAGGGGTCTCTTCAATGGCATCGCGATACGCAGCCACCGCTTCTTCAGCATTCTTTTAAGTTTTTCTTTAATTTTTGGAAATAAATAAAAATCACAAGGCGCGAGGTCGGGGCTATACGGCGGGTGACCCAGTAATTCAACGTTTGATGTCGCCAAATAGTCGATCGTTCGCTTGGCGGTGTGCGACGAGGCGTTGTCGTGGTGAAGGAGGATCCTACTGCGAGGTCGTTTCTCTCGAACTTTTTCCAAGACAAGTGGCAAACAATTGGTAGTGTACCATTCTGCAGAAACTGTTTTTTGATCCTCTACCACAATTGTTGCAAAATGACCTATCCTTCCAAAGAACGAGGCCACCATTTTTTTTCCCGCACTTCGATCTCTCTTCACTTTAGTTGGCAACTCCTCGAAAGGAAACACCCACTGAGCAGATTGTCTTTTGGTTTTAGGATCATAACAGTAAATCCAGCTTTCGTCACCTGTTAGTATGTCGAACACAGCATTTGAGTCACCTCCGTTAAATCTTTCAATCATTTTACGACACCAATCCACACGATGGAGTTTTTGAGCCTCAGTCAAATTATGAGGTATCCACCGGGCGCAAAGCTTCCTGACCGCTAAATGTTCGTGGAGGATTTTGTGCACTTGACTCATACCGATGCCTAAGCTTGTCCGAATCTGTTGATAGGTCACTCTTTTGTCAGTCTCTATCATACGCCGCACAACACAGATGTTATCTTCAGTCGTCGCCGTAGAAGGCCGTCCCTCACGTAAATCATCAGTGAGATTAGTGCGACCACGTTTAAACTCATTAAACCAGTTGTAAACAGTCGCACGAGATGGGGCTTCATCGTGAAAGGCCAATCGTAGTCTATCATAACTTTCTTGTTGACTTAAATGACATCGAAAGTCATAAAAAATCATTGCACGAAAATTTTCTCGTGTTAAATTCATGATGACGTGACACAGACAATTTTCAATTTGCCGCCAAATCGTAAAACAAATGACAAATGAATGAAATATATACTCAGTAATATTGGCAAAGAGTTATATTTTCAAATTTTAGAATTATTTTTTTATTATATTGTTTATAAGTGGCCAGTTCTAAGAACTTTCAGTTTGACCCTCGTATACGTTAGTGTAGCACTAGCACAAGATTGAAAAAATATAATAACAACAAAAGACAAATTAATTATAGTTAAATTATTATTATTTAATTGATTAAAATATTTGGTTATTAAGTTTCGATTAAATAAATACATTTATAATATGATTTATTATCATAAACATTTATAATTTTAAATTTAAAATAGAATACAACCAAATAGGAGGTTTAAAACAATAAATTAAAGACCTTTTGTTGGTTTTGGGTAGCAGAGATGTGTTATTGATAGATTGTAGATCTTACTACATACAACTCAATAATTTATTGAAAGAAAATTAAATTTTAATATCCTTGGCTAGATACCAACTTTTACCAGACTTTTAATTTTTAACAACAATTTTTTTTTTAAGTATTTATTAATTGATCATTTAGATTCAGTAGCTACTTTTATAAATACGTCGTCTACATATCGTATCTAAATGCAAAACCATTTTTCAAATTAGTTCACTTACTTTTCATGAAATTATTTCATAGGCTTCAATATATGAAACAATTTCTTGAATAATATGTTTTGTATAATGTTCATCATTAATTAAGTCAACCGTATGATAATATAAACTGTTTTAACATCTGTCTTTCTATAAAGAGCCATCTGTATTTTATTTACTTTTGTTATACTTTTATGTGTTTATAATACTTTTGTTACAATTATAGTATAAATATTTTTTAAGAAGCCTCACCTATATACCTACATGTTGATTAAACGCAATTTATAACATTCCAAGACGTCCCTAAAATAGGTTAAGGGTTTTTAAAAATTTAGACTAGCAACGAACTAGCTGATTGAATAAAAATAATTACAATATTAATTTTATTTAAGTTCTACCTCTGCTGAGGCGCTACCTCTGATCGTGGTTTTTATTGAAAAAAAAAATTAAATTATTCAATTATCCATACGTGTTTTTACATTATTTTTTTTCTTCTGTATTTTATTTCGAATAATGTAAGTTATTATATTTTTTTTTAAATAGATTATGTGTCCTTTTTATATAATAGCATTGGTAAAGAATAGTTAGGTAATATGTCTGTAAAATGTCGATAAATGAAAATTATTATATCACAAAGAAAATGATATATATGATTTTTTTTACCAAAAAAATTAAATGGAATACCATAATCTGACATGTTTCGGCATTTGTAAAGAATATGGATGTGCTAAACAAATAATTGCTTTGTTAGAGTGAGTGATTATAATACTTTTCGAACTTTTTCTATAATAACCATTCTTGTTAAAAAGAAAGCAGAAGCGATTGTGGTTTTCAAATATATATCTGTCTATCTGCAAGTTAGCAAACGAATTATGTGTTCTTTCAGTTGAAATTACTATACATTGACTGCAAAAAAAAGATAAATTAATATCTAATATTACATAATGGAAACATAACCGATTTAAATCGTCTCATTGTAATGAAATAAAATGCCGCGTTGATAATAATATATGTAATAAGTGCAATTTTTTCTTGCCATGCCTAAAATGGGCGTTTCTTATCATAATTATAATTCTAATACTATTTATAATAATGCATCATGGGATCTATATCTAAAAGCATAATTATGTAGAAGAGATTTAGACGCAGTTGGATATACCATGTTGTAAATAAAAATAAGTTATGATTTTTAGCAAATTTAAAGAAAATTAATGAATGTTATTATTTTAGCAATATATTTATTTCTTAAATTGCAATGTAATAGTATAAAAATTGTGCATGTTGATAAATGTCATTAAAAGGTTTGTAAATATTGTTTTTTTTATTCTTAATAAATTAAGTATTGTTTGTCTGATATCAATCATAATATAGGTTATCAAATTTTGTAAATATCTACAATGTTAAATAATTAAGTAATGTTTTTATAATAAAAGTTTTTAATATGTGGAGCTCGTTGTACTTTTATTGTTTTTTATTTAGCAGATTATGTTTATTGTAAAATTCTGTTTATAATTTAACATAAATCAGAAAATAATAAACATTTAACACTGACGGTCATTTGTTACTCTAAATGAACCCATGTAACAGTTGACCCAATAAAGTTAGAATTAAATGCATTGCATATAAAAAAAAAACTTTAAAAAAAAATTAAACTGACTTCAAAAACGACAGACAACAAAAATTAATCCAATTATTAGGACCGATTTCAAACTTTAAAAAACCGGCCAAGAGCGAGTCGGACTCGTGCACGAAGGATTCCGTAACAAAACGAACAAAAAATCACGTTTGCTGTATGGGAGCCCCTTTAAAATTTAAATTTTATTCTATTTTTTGTATTTGTTGTTATAGCCGCAACAGAAATACATTATCTGTGAACATTTCATCAGTCTAACTATCACGGTTCATGAGAAACACTGTCGATCGTGAGCGCGTTAAGATTTTAGTATGGCATCCGGTACAGCGCCCCTAGCGGTAACTACCAAGAACTACAAATCTCCATACAAATTAACGCACTCACTAGTGAACGCATTGGCGTAAAACTTACACTTACCACTCTGATAACAGCAACAAAATCACGTTACTTGCGTAGAAGTCCGCTTAAATATTTATTTTATTCTGAAAAGGAAGAATTTGTTATGATATATATATTTTTTAAAATAGAACCAACTTCACAATCTTTGTGAGAAATAATAATTGAGTGAAAAGTGGTTTTATTATTTAATTCGGGCATCTTTTAATAACCTACAGAAAAGTTCCACCCGACTTCAATAGCAGTTTATTGAATAATTAAACGGCTTTTAAGATAAGTGCTATTTCTCACTTTTTAAAGTCAATTTAATTTTTTGAAAAAAATAAATTTATAAACGCAATACTATAAATAGAAGTACCTACTCAGGTTTTCAAAAACTTGATCACCTGTTGACTTTTAACCTAACAAATTTAATATTGAAATTAAAAAACAATATTTTATAAGTCAATACTGTATAATATTGACTTTTTAATAACGTTAGAAAATATAAATAAATAAAATAATCTATTGTTAAAATCACACCAAATCATCCCACACAAACTTATTAATTTTTAAAATAATATATTTTTTCTGATATGATATAACCGTGGCACGTGCAATATATAAAGTATATATAAACAGATCGTCAACTCCGTAACGAAGACAATACGAATAATAAGAAAAGATGATTGACATTTTGTGTGAGAATAATGGACCAATGAAGTATCTCCTTAGATGATGCCTTGGTAAAAAAATCATACGTATTCTATTAAGACCGTCAGTCAGTTAATAGAAACGTATTTTTTAGTTATATTATGCATTAAGCTTAAAGAGTGGGAGAGAAAATGTACCAAGGTGTGATATAATGCCAAATTTGAGTACTGCGCGCCTACCGAGGCTGAATCCTGTTGGAATGTCCACACTTCGTTTTTGAATAAGGTTTTGTTGAGAGGTTTAACCATCGGTACGGTATCTTGATACATTTTGGCTGAAGTTTGCATTTACCTTACCTTTACCATTTTCGCAA